GAAAAAATAATATTTATATGGTATAGATTTATAGTATAGATTTATATAATAGAAATAAAAAAATTTATTTCTATTATAATACAAAATAATTTCTATATTTTATCAAATTTATTTATATATTTATTTATTTATATATTTATTTATATATTTATTTATATATATTATATAATTTTCAAATTTTTAATTTTTAAATAAGTTTATTTTATACATGAAAAAATAATTACCTTTCGGAATAAGTAATTCTGATTGTACTGTTTTACTAATTGAAGCTTTCCATTGATGAAAATTTCTAGCTATTAAAATACATTTAGTATAAGTTCCTTGTACATCCTTATTAAAATCATATGGTACATAAAGAGGTAAATTTGACTTTTCTTCGCTTTCTAATATAGGATATTTATTTTTTTTTAATATAGTTAATAATTCTTCATTTAACATACGTTTTTCAATGAACGGTTGTCTATCTTTTAAGACAAAAGCTCTACTAGAAGTATCTGGTGCTTGACTTTGTATGAGAGTTTCCAATTCCGTAATAATTGTAGATATAGGATGTCTGTGATTAAGAATTATTTCATGTTTTTTTATTGATGGAACTCCAATTTCTAAAGCAAATTGAAACCATTGCGATAATATTACGCAATAAATACTATGTAATTTGCCATCTTCACCTGTTTCAAATTGATCAATTATCATATCATGTATTATTTTTGATTCTATTTTCATTGAAGTTTGATTTTCTTTAGTTTCAATATATGTTTCTTCAATATTTTTTATAAATGGTTCTGTTAAAGATGTTGATAAAAATTTATATTCCGTAACTAAGTCCCAAATTGCATGTTTAACTGCAGAACATAATTTTTTTTGTAACAAAGATTCAAGATTAACTCGGCCTTGTTTCCAAATTTTAAATTCGATTAAAGGTAATAATTCTGTAGAATTTTTATCATGAATTGATGTTGATACAATATTTTTAAAATCTTCTATATTTATTGTTTCAGGAAAATTAATTTTTGGAAATTCACCGTCTATTTTTGTAGAATCAATATATTCTCCTGTAATTGCTAAAGCAATACAAGCGATACCTTTACTTCCAGTAGAATGACTTTGATTATAGAGAAAAATATCTGATTCGGAAATTCTTTTAGTAGATCCTTCGAGTTGCGAATAATCTTGAAAATGATATTCTATTCTGTTATCGGTATATTTTGGTATATATAAAAACTGAAGTATATTTTGACGCAAATAAAATTCTAAAGCAGTTATATATAATAAACAATGTTTTTGTACATTTAACCGTATAATAGACTCTGGAGGCTTTGGTGGTTGAATAAAATGTACATCGGCAGGTGTTAATTTACACATTGGATTTCTTGCTAACATGATAGATAAAACTTCTAAAACTGCATCATCTAAACGATTTTGTAAAACTTGAACTAAATCACGTTTAACTTCCGGCCCCGCATCAGAGATTCCATGTACCATTAAAATAATTGAATCTTCAGTTTTATTTAAAACATTTGATTCTTTCTCACTAAAAGATCGAACTCTAGGCCTTGTGTCATTTGACATGGAATTATCATTTAGCTTAACTTGTGATAATGAAACTACACTATTGCTTCGAGAAACAACAAGTTGTTCATCGCTTTCCGATAATTTATTTTGTAAAGTTTTTCCATCGCTAATTTGTTCATGTAATCTTAAGTAAAATACATTTTTATTATTCTCTTGATATACAAACATGTTATTCCTGTTACTAACGGCAAATCTATTAAGTACTCCGTGTAGAGCTTTTATACCACGAGAAAGTCCTGATCTTCCTGGACCAGTTTTTAATCGAGGATGCAGTTGAAAGGTAAATTTCCAGACAACACGACATCGAAACATTCCCGGAGTAAAATTTTGCGCTGAATCTCTATTTTGTACAACATTACTAAATTCATTTATCGTCTCTGATTTCCAATTATAATCTTCATTTGATTCTGTTTCTAAAAGTTCTGAACATTTGCTTGTTTTATGAAGATTTTGTAGAAGTAAATATTGATTCACTCGACGACAAATACTTTTTATTTGAGAAACTAACATTTTTTGAGTATGCCAATAACTATTTACTTCTGGCGATATAATTTCTAAAAATCTATCGAACAATAATAATTTTAATATACGATAAAATATGCAATATACTTTTTAAGATGCTTTAATGCTTAAGTTTTATCAAATATAATAAAAAAAAATAATAAATTATAATAATTTTAAATATAAATAACAATTTAGAACAATTTTAGCAATTAACTTATTTACTTTAATTTTATATTTTTTAAATTGAATAATAGAATCTATAAGTTTCAATTAATTGAATTTTATTATCAAGAAACACTATAAAAGTCTCATATTTGCAAAATATTATATGTATTATTTATGATGTATATTTTTTAAATTTTTAAAACATAAAATTTTAAACATAAAACATTGGTTGTTTAAATTGCAATGCTATAAAATTAAACACTTAAATAATAAAAATAAAATTTAAACAATTAGTGCATCTTAAAATATATTGAAAAATATTAAGATTTATTGTTTAATTAATGATTATTAGTACTTACCTACAATGAAAGTATACATTTACATAATCATTTTCAACGTTTAAAATTAACCAGAAATTAGGTAGGGCACTTTTACGATTATCAAGATCTATTAACCATTGAAATTTATTTTCAGATACAATATTCTTTTTATATTCATCCTCAATGTTTTCTTTCTCATGTATTAGATCATTAGAATAAGATTCTTTGGATTTAAATTCTGCATTGAGATTATTTTTTGTACAATTGTTTATGTTTTCTTGTAACTTTTCTATTTCTAGATTTTCTATTACACTATCTAAAATATATTAAAATTTTTAAGTTTTATAATTTATAATTATTCATTTTAGTTATATTCTATGTCGTATAAATTATTTTTTTATGAAAAATACGTACTATCTTTTATTTTTGATTCTTTTTTTCCGTTCTTAAATTGTTCAGAAACGATATCAGTCGATACCTGTTCCACATCCTTTATGAAATAAAATAAATTTCCTTCTTGACGAATACAATATTTATCAATTTGAAGTTTTTTTAACTCACTTATAAATTTAGGTTTACTATCGTCTGATGAAAATACAAAATATAAAGGAACTTTTTCTACTTTACAACTAAATCTGTCCGTTGATTCCGAAACATGATTTGCAACGAAATTTAAAATATCTTCATTTATAAAAGGATGATCTAGGAGTGCAGTTGTAGTTTCATCTTGCAAAAGCCATTCAATTTCATCTTTTAAATTGGTTATAGCATTATGTTGACTTAAAGGTAAATGCGACATTTTTTCTTGAAACGATTCATTTCTAGCATTATTTTCCAAGCTACATCCACTTTCTGTTCGTAAACTACCTATAGGCGAACCACTACAAAAAGATGTTGCTCTTAAACCAGAATATTGTTCTAAATTTATTTCCAATACTTCTCTTGGAAGATTTAGACATATAATATCCAAAGTAATTTTTAAATCAGCTAGACTTAAATTAGCTATATTTTCTTCTTTATAATCTTCCATCTTTTGTACAATTTCCATAAAACACGTTGGTAAGGATTTTACAGGAATACTACTAAAACCAGATCTAGTTTGGAATCGAATAGAGCAACTTAATTGCAGAAACAAAGGTTGGTCTCTTTCATAAATAGTTTTTTGTTGTAAATCACTGTTAACAGATTCCATGGAGTCATGCCTTGAAATTTTCGAAATATTGTTGATATTTCTGACTGGCCATGTTGTATTTTCTAAATGTATACAGTGCATTATTATATATATATATATATTACATTTTTTATTAGATATGTTAAAAATTATACTAAGAAAATATTTTTTTAAGTTTTATAAGTTTATTAATTGTTACTAAGAAGAAATTTGCATTATTTAATGAAAAAAATATTACATATCTGTATTTATTTATTTTTCGAATAAAATAATTAAATATTGTTATAGTATTTTTGATAGTCAAAAATCTATTTTGTTTGAATTTTTTTAAAATATTATTTTGAATTTACCTTTTCTATTAAAATTTCGTGATGTATTAATATTTACTGATTGAAACATAAGATTTTGTATTTCATCATCACTATCCGATTTTTGAAATTCTGCAATATCCTATAAAAATATAATTTGTTTATTTATTAAATTTATTTTATCAATTGAATAACAAATATATTATATTAAAAACAAACCGTTTCATTCTCTGACCAAGATGGCCAACAAAAATAAAATTCTGGATGTGCCGGTACAGGTCTAAAGGCAATTGTAATTATCTTTTCAAACTTTTCCTTGATTAAATTATGTAATGGTACAACTTCATCGCATGCCAAAAAATTTATTTTGTCTAATAAGTTTTTGTCCGATGATTTGCTCAAATGTCTACATACAGATCGCAAATAATTTGTTATATTAATCTCAATTAAAGTTTCTTCGCATTGTTCTACTGCTGCTTCCATATCATCATATGTAAGAGATTGTTGCAACACCAATGATTTATAAACTGCGACCACATAACAATGACAGTGAGCCAAACTTAATAACTTACAATGTTCCATAAGGCTTCGTTGATCTATTATAAAAATAATTATAATTTCTAATTATTTATATCAAATTAATAAATATTTACATCTATTATATATGTATTAATCATATTAGCATTCTATCTTTCTTTATTTAAAATAATCTATTCATTTTGAAATATGGGATAATAATATTTCTAGGATATTTGAATTATATTATTTTTTTTCAATTATCCTTTTTTAAATAAATAAATTAAACTGTTTTTAAATCTCTAAAATTCATATAAGCTTTTTAATTTTAAAAAATAAATAAAGTTTTAAATATTGCAATTCATTTCGAAAAATGAAAAATAAGATAGAATATTTTAACTTGGATAGATAAATATTAAATTGGCGAATAAAAAATAAAAATTAAAAAATTTTTGTTTCTTATGATGAAATTACGAAGAAATGTTTTATGATGCTTTATCATCTATTCATGATTAATAACAAAAATAATTCTTAACTGAATTAATTGTAAGTATTCTACATTCTAAAAAAAGAGTTATTTTATAACATATTTTTTGTAACATTTATTATATTCATTAGATGTTTTATTTGATTTTTGTTTATTTTGTACAAAATTGTCTTAATGAAAAATTGTTCAAAAAATTCAATACATTCGAAAATATTCGAAATATTTAATATTCGAATTTATCTCATTGTAAATAAAATTATTAACGATAAAAATATAAAGTTAAATTTTTGAAATACTAAATTATATA